ATTATGAAGTACGAAAACCCGTGGAATCGATTATGATTATTGTTCTCTTCATCTACTTCTCATTTTTTGTTTAAGTAACTCTATATGGACACCCTATCGGTGAATACAAAGAAGGTTGAGAAGAAACATAGGTTTTTGTTTCCATCACTTAATCTTTTCGGCCTTGAAAGAACACTGGAACTRTCCTAGAACGTTCATGAGAGACAGTGAAAATTCTGAAATTGCCAGAACTTTCTTCAAATATCGATCAGGTTTRAAGAAGAATTCAATTTGAGGCACTAATGTYATCGAAATTTTGTCCAGACCCGCACAACATTAAGTCATTTAGGCACTAGAACAATTTCGAAACTACACTGATATAGCCTTGATCCACTAAGTCGAACGACTTTAATGGTTTTGAGTAGTACGSAAGCAATACATTTAAGAATTTGAGTAGCGTAAGTAATTCTTACAGTACTTTACTACTAATTTGTGCCAGCCCTAGAAACGACTATACCACTGGAGATATTTCTTCTTTTGAATGTGTTACCTGCAACGTACCACTCATTATATTTCTGAAAACCATAACAGATCTCGACAAACTCCAAACCATCCTAGCGACAAATAGCGAGCACTAGGAACACCATCGACCTCGAAAATCGACACCTCTTTCTTGTCTTCTTTGTGTCGTTCAACAACCTAGCGCTTCACAATGACACCGCACAGAAGAATTGAACGCAATTCCTTTCGATTAGAATTGAAAATGAAAGGGATCTCCGAACCCTGCCAACGAGACATATTGTGYGGGCGAGGAGGGGTGAGTTTTTATTGAAGCTGAGCATGTTTTGTTTCGTGCTGGGCGTAGTATTTAGATCATTAGGTGTTCAGTACATTCTCATATTCTTCGACTACTCTCATTCGCCAATCTCTGCGAATAGAAAACTCTGCGGTATCCAGGTAACTTGAGGGTAAGAAGCTTTGTCACGATTTCAAATTCAAAACAAATTACGWAGATTTTCCGCTTACTAACAGGATCGTTGTTGTGCGTTCCTTTACAGTATCGATCTCTCATCAGGGAAAACAAAACTATGTATTTGCTGTCCTCCAAAGAACAGAAGAGTATCATCAGTCGCTCGATCGTTGCGGCCATCCGAGCGAGAAGCGGGCGATTTTTGGAACAAGCGACAGACAAAACCTGGTACGATGTCGGAGATGCAAAAGCCATCGAGAAAACTGCACAGGCACTCCGAGAGGGYCAAGCTAAGCTACGAAGAAGAATTATCGACAGTGGACTGCACAAAGAAAAGCTGGGATGCAGCCGTCTAGGAGCACCCCATATTACGTTCGCGTCACTAGAATTACCCTTCAAGCATGAGCATTCAAGGCCCAATCAAATTGCATATGTCTCTGATTCACCTTCCATCAATGTTCACAAGATGAACGATGAGATATTCCAACTGCGCCAACCGCTTGATACTATTATAACSCCCGGAAGGGAAACAATAATTCCACTCGATCACCCTCAGCCCCACTACCACCACCAAGCGGAGATTCGCAGAAACTCCAGCCCTGTGTCCTCCTTGAGTAACATTTCAATTCCTTTCGGAAATTATACTGCTAATTGCCCTCATCGGCAAAATTATTCGACGATCATTCCCCAAGTCAACCGAATACTAACATCTACGGTACAACTGAATCAACCGATTCATGATGTTCCTCAACCGCTCCTCTTTCCCTGTAACAATGAAAGACAGGAAGATGTGGAACAACATAAGCCTGTTCCTGATTTTGTTGGCGACAACAACGACGACGAGAATTCCATCATGACCTTTGAAATGGATAGAGATGAATTCCTTGAGCCAAACGAATGCCTAGATATATTACCATTGTCGGTCTCGAGGACACCAATAACAAATCATCTCAGATCGGTGCGTAGGTGGAATAGCAGTGCGCCTAATGCGCCTGAAAACAATTATTGCTATCACCATCTAGCAGGCACACTCTGATTTAGATTGACACAGCACATACCATATTCTCAAACTATGAATATGAATACTACGTAACATACATAATGCATTGTAACACGATTCTACTTCTTTGATCCCAAAACGTGGCTCGATAGTCATGATGTACTTGTAGTGTCTAGTGACGTCCTCAGTACCCACTTCAAGCAGAAATATATTGACAACGTTTAGATCAAATAATAAAAGTGATTTGGTCACATCGTAGCGGCATCTTCCAGAAATGAAGCTCACCAATTGCTCGTTAGGGCAAAAGCGTTAATTATAAATGTCCCGTTCCTTCCTATCCTGCGGTAGATTATCCAAGAAAAAAAATTCTGTATGTGTTTGTAGTTGTGGCATGATCAGTACATGCGTAGCTAGAAGTTGTACATTCGTGATTTAGCCTCACAACTAATGCATAAAATCATTTTGACTTGTTCTGTATTACTCGTCCTTTTGAACGGAGATTTATGGTTGCGATCTGTAAAAAAGGCGTCGAATGACCATGACTTTGCAGATTGAGAGCAAGTGATCACAGAAATTTTTGGTCGCGTTTATACTTGTGTAGAAACTCTACGTCAATTGTTTCGTTTATGATGACCATTCCCGCTTTAAAATGGCTTAAAGGTTTCCATCAAACGGTATGTTTTTCTTATGACAGACAATAATTGTTCTTGATAAATGACGCTAAACTTGTCGAGATATTTTCTCCTTTGTCAAAAAATAACACCTCCCGAAATATTTCTGTTACGAACAAGAACRTCAAAAAAGTGATCATCAGCTTTTTGCAATGCCAATCATGCCGATAAAACCAAATGATGTATGGCTAGCACGGCTTCAGACGAGAAAACGCGTCTTAGCTTCACGATCAATATCCATACTACGAAACTGGACACCATATACACAATATATCCATTCGACAATCTCGAATCTCTCAGTGAGTGGAATTGTTCAAAACCCAATATTTTTCMAGCACAATGACAATCAAGATCAGATCCTGCCTCCCTATTGTCGTGGCTGCCATGATTTTGTGTTGTGATGCTGCTGTTTAYGGCGACGAAGGCAACTTACGAGGACCAATTAGCAGAGATGTAGAGCGTACGGAATCAATAACACAAGCWACAATGATCCATCCCACACATACCCTATTAAAGAATGACACAATAACGCCGAGCAACAATAATGAAGGAATTAAGAAGGAAGAACAGCGACAAACACCTTATGTTCTTMGAGGTAGCGGAGTACCGTATAAATCAAATAACGAGCAGAAGRATCTATCGATATCTGATGATGGAACAAAGGAGAAGAGAGCTCACAAAAAACAGGGGGAAGATGAGCGACAAGCAGAAACTTTCGGAAGCCAAAAGGAGATGTCCGTCCTCGAAAACGAGATATTAGAAATCCGCCGACGAATTAAACGTTCACAGGAACAGCTTCAAGAAAAGCTGCAACAACCAATCGTAGTTATAAAATCGACCAACGAGGGAGGCGAAAACGGAAACGAAACTGAAACCGAAAGTGAACTGTCTGCTGAATCAGAATCTGATGGCAATTGTGTTTATTCCTTTCATAAGGAACGCGATCTTCATGTCGACCTGAAGACTACTAGCTTACACAAAGGGGGAAAGTGTAGGTTGGACGTTGATATCGTGCAAAAGTCCGAAATCCATGCACGAGCACTGATAGGCGATGGTGCATGTCGTTTTGATTCTACCCACGGGCATTGGTACATCGCAAAATGCATTGTGAATGACGAGAACGAAAGCAATRGAAAGAAAACCAAGAATAGAGAAAAGTTTCCAGAGTTTGTCTTCACAAAGGCTTTTTGTTCCAGTGGATGCGAAATTTGTGCCGATCCGGAAGAATCGCCTGACGTCCACGGACATGGACATCCAGTTGGACCCTTGTTCCGCACATGGGGACGACCAGCATTCGCCATTTGTGAACTTCCGGAAAACATGAAATTCAAACGAAAAAGAAGAAGACAGGGGACAACAAGTAATGATGTTGCAGAAAAATTATTTGTGCAATACCAAGGAAACTGCATTCAAGAAATTTGCAACGATACACAGATTTCGACATGATGTTGCCACAATCACGGCAACAGCAACAATATAGAATGATAAAGAACATATTGTTCATCCATAGAAAACCAACAAATCAATATTCTATCAGTGAAAAATATTATAAGGTATTGATTGCCTTTCAAGACACAACTTCCATCTATCTACAATTCGACAGTAATATCCTTCAACATCAAGGCTACTTGATTAAACCAAAAGATTACCATTATTACAGTTTCTTTGTTGCTATCTACTGTTACCAAGACGAACCTGTGGCGGTCGATTACCTGATGGTCCTTAGCCCTTTCTAACATAAATTAGATATTCTTCGCCAAACTAGTCGCCACCTCTCCATGGAAAAATTACGTAACTTAATCCTAGGAGATCATCCAATCTCATCAAACGAAACCTTCGACACAGTCTAATCTTCTTTTAAAAACAAACTAAATATATGGAGCCGGCGATGGAGAGGTGGACTCTGTCGCACCAATGGGCGGCACTCCAGCTACAGAACCCGACTATTGGTTCAAAAAACATCGTATTAGATAAAAGATTTTGTCGGAGAGCGTCGGTCTGTGGAGGAGACTAAGAGTGATGTTCTCTTGGAGATTAAAGGATGCTACTGGCAATAGCTTATTCAATGGGGTACCCATACGTGTCAAAMACATCGTGAAACAGTAGATCAGGGGCGATGCAGCAAAAACGATCGCACATAAATGGATACTCGCGTTGATGCAAATTTTGTATTGTTGCTCTGTATGTGCCGTGGGAAAATATTGCTAGCTTGATTCGGACATCTGTTATTCCATGCAGAATTCCAGGGCTTCTTTTACACCATCCCGGGTCATTTCATGGAACCCCCAGGCAACGTTCATTGTCTCGGAAATAGGCGACCCGTCCGCCACTAATGAATCCCCCCGTTTCATGAATTCCAGGGACGGGCCTGCAACCGAATGCACCGACATCAATAATGTTTGTCTCCAGTTGGATTGCCGTGGATCCTCCCTCAATTCGTTCGTGATTTCGTCGAGGAAGCCGGCGTCCCGAAAGACGCGAACCATATCGCTGGATTCGGCAACAGAAATGTCTGGGATCCGATCCGAAAARTAGGAAGGAATCATCGGAAGGGCTGGGAGTTGAATGTGTTTGCATCTATTGGTTGCGCTTTGATCGCTGCTGTTATCGTTGCATTCGTCAACGATGCCTCGTGCGGCGTCATCGGTACGGGAGTCCCTGATCATGGTTATATATACCTGACACAGTGAATCAGATGATTTATCATTGGAATCTTCATTGCTCTCAACTGGCCGTCGGTGTTGCTGATGATTGGAATTTGCCGAGATTTGGGAAATGAACCCACTCAACAAAATGCCGTGGTTTATTTTGAGGGGCTCGGCAATGGAACTCACGAATTTGCCCCCAGAGCTGGCTCCAAAGGCATAAATGGGCAGCGGCTGCTGCAAGAGTTCCTCTTTTGATGATTCGTACGAATCTGTTTGTTTCCTTGTTGCAAATCGATTCAAAAATTCCTTTAATAYCCGCGCCACGGGCTCAGTGTCTCTCGCGACGTTCCAGCACTTTGAGATTCGGTTGGTCGAAGAGAGGGCAATCACGACAAAGCCCAGGTCAATGGCATCCCGGACAATAGCCCGTTCTTCCGGCAATCCAAGGCATGTTTCGCAGGAAGAAGCTGTCGATTTCGGGAACCAATCCGTGTTTGAATGTTGGCATCCGTGAGCGACAAAGAGCAGTCCAGATATCGGCGGCGCCAAATCCAGTGGTAGTTCCTGGTCGTTTGCCGGGGGCATTGCCCATAAAACATCGATCCCATCAATGAACTCGCGGTGATACAAGAAAACGGATGCATCATCTTCCTCACCATCGCGATTGTCGCGGTATGGAAACTTGGAAGAATATTCCGAGCGATTCTGGTATCGATTCGAGGAGCGCAAAAAGTCTTTTGAGGAAACGGAGATCGTAGTTGTGATTATTTCATGGGTCGTAGTAGTCGTTGTGACATACGTCGTAGTGGTGGTGGACGCTGAGAGCGACATCAGATATACAAAAGCAAGGGCGAATGCGATGATGCACAGCGTCCCGCCGAACACAAGGACCACCCAAAAGAAATCGGTGTAGACCCAGCTTCTTTTTGATCGCCATCTGTGTTTCGGATAAGGGAGAGAGGAAAGAGGTGAAGCAACTCTAACCATCGTTTGGTTTATGGAGTAGGATCAGAAAGAACAAGAAGAACCATCCGGTAGCGATCGGTAAGGGGCTTGTGGATCCGCTGTTATGCGTCTGAACCATGTGGAATACAACAGTGCATGTAGCAATACCGGTATGAGAGGAGTGTGACGCCGGGAGTGTTGACGGTTGACGAAAAGGAAAAGCGACAATAACAATTTCAGACTTAGAATAGCCCAATTTGGTGAAAGAGAAAAAAAAGAGGATTTCTGCGCGATGGAGAGGAGAACTTGTTTGGTTCGCAATGACTAGGATGGCACAGCTCAATAATTTGCAGCAACTTACGCTGAAATGTGTATGACCGATGTCATTTGGACTGTCAGTTTGGGGTTAATAGTGAAGCATACAGTACGGTACTGGACTGGACTGGACATATGGTACGGTATCAGACCGCCGCAAACTGACGTCAAAGAGGCACTGTTGTACATTTCATAGGTAGAATACAGTATGTACCGTTGGTCTGAGACTGTGGCTACGAGCAGGGGTCATAATTTCTAAATTATGTACCCTGGCTACGAGTATGTACCGTACAGGTCACACAGCTCATGGCTTACTGTGTCTGTCATGTGTCCGATTCATTACATTCGAAAAAATGAAAACCTGTACCTACGGTAAAGTACCGTAGGACGTCATTYKTCCGTTTTAGGAAGAGTACGAGTACTAATATGTACGGTGCCAACAACATGTTCTCGGAAAAAAATGATCATCATGTGAGTTTCTTGAAGCTCTTAAGAAAACCGCGTGGTACCGTATTCGACGTGCGACGTACCGGCCGG